GGAAGAGACCAAGTTGCCCAATAAACATGATGACAATAGGCCCAAGGAATAGGAACTGTAAAGCCCAGGTCCACGAAGGTAAGCTTGCGCTCCATTTTTGCTCTTCGCCGAAAACACCAGTCTCCAAGTACCCTCCATGACTGCCGGTCTCACTAGGACTTGAGCCCCTTCCCGTCCTTGTGTAATTAGCAAACGTGGTTCGGTGCTGCCCACCAAGCAGAGATGTAGACTCTGTTGGCTCATCATCCTCATCATCATGCGTTCCTTCATAGCCATCAATGTTACTGCCAGATGGCAATTCATCTGCTGATGGTGACATGATTCGGCTACTGCGATGGCTAGCCAGTCGACTGGGAAACTGGCTGTGCTCGCGAGCATATTGAGTTTTCTTTGGCAAGGCAAAAAGTTCCAAATAAGACAGGAGTGTCGATAAAAATGTGGCTGCAAAATAGAAAACAATGAAATAACCGGCGGCAATATTGTGCTGATTCTGATAAACCGTAACGATCACAAGCAATATCCACATAATGAGGAATTGCCAGGTGAAAATATAAGTTCTATGCAATGCAGACGGTCTAAAAAAGTCTCCAATACATGCGAGGAACCATGTAATGAATACCCAGGCAGACAGCATCATGCTCCAAACGGCATACCTGCTACTGTGAACGATGAAAGGGTTGACTTTTGTCAACAGATAGGCTAAGCCAACTAAGATGCCAGAGGAGACGATGAAGATAACGGGATACCGGAACAAGCCGCGTAGACCTTGGATAGAAATGCTTTCTTGGGTTTCCGGAATCGTCTTATGAAGCGAAAACAGATACATCTTGTCCATTTTGCTCAAGATGATGCCTGTGGCGAAAAGGATAATTGGGCAGAGCACAAGAAGCGTTACGGAGATGGCAAAGAGGGTATGGAGCCGGAATACTGCAAAAGATGACCCGAAAAGATCGAACCAAACACCATAAGTGCCCACCCCGCTATTGACTTTGCCTTCGCCGGGAGCCTCGCCATCGAAATCGTCGCCAGTGTAGGAAACAAGACCTTCGGTTGTGGCAATGGCGCTGGAAAGCATATGCCATAGAGAGTCAATGCTCGTATGCCGCACGTCATCTTGATCCGTGTGGTAACGAGCTCGAGGTTCAATGAAAGCAACATCAAGACCTCTCAACCCTAGGACACCGTTGAAGATAACATAGTCCGTTTCGCTCCGGATCAGGCCCATCTTAAACCCATCTGCGGCGAGTACTGAGCCAAACGGATGCTGGGAGCTTTTATAGAACCTTGTAACTTCCGTATCGCTGGTGCGAAACAAAGCAGCGCGTCCTCCCGCACCAGCACCCTCCAGATTTAGAAACGTATGCGTAAATTTGGAAAGTGGATGCTGGCTAAAAGCACGGGCACCATTGAGATAATCTTCCTCGCCGTTATTCAAAAGCAAAACAAGGCCTTTTCTGGGGCGATGACCGGGGGAGGTGAAGTACTTGATGAGCTGAAGGACGCTCACGACTCCCATGCCATCATCGGTAGCACCGAATCCGGTTGACACGCTATCATAGTGCGCATTGACGAGCACGCCTCCCTTGCATTTTGGTTTGCCATTTGGAGACTCCCACCAGTGCTCTCTGTCGTCCTCAATGCCCCGAACATAAACGACGATGTTCGTGCCCTCGAAATAAATTCCGGCCGTGGGCTTTTTACCAACGCCACTGCCTGAAAAGGTCAAATTGGTCTTGTCGTCAAACACAAGCACTTCCGGAGCCCCGCTGCTTGTGACATCGGTGTCGTGCGCCTTGCGAGACGCGGCGAGGATCTCGTCTATTCGCTCTAACAACCAATCGTGGACCTCGTCATTTCGATGGCTGTTGTAAGGATGAAACCCGCCAGTCAAGTGCTGGAGGTCAGCCCATGCTTCTGAAAGGTTCACGCCTGCGGGATTGGATTTAGGAGCCGAGGGAACGACGTGGTGCACGACAATCAGCGGAACAAGGAGCGCGATGTAAACAAGCGATGATATCACAGTCACCGGGCCGGGAGTGAAGGACAGGGGATTGAATCGCCGTCGCGTTGACGACGCCATCTCGGGCATGGAACCCGTCAGAAGCAAAGCTGGATCAGCCCAGACGTCCCAGGCTCGCCATTGAAGACGCGATGTTGCGGATGGTGGATTGTCGTTGCTGCGGGGGAGCTTCTTCTCGAGAACACCGGCAGTACAACTAGGATTATGTAATCAATTTCCCGATGCTTGGCGGAGCAAGGAGGAACTACAGAG